GCTTTTCAAACAAGTCCAACCACTTGAAATCCATCAACTCCACATGCGATTATGGCGATGCAGAGCGTTGAGATCCATGTTTAATGCAAATGAGAAATACATGAGTCTGGCAACACATCATTTGATTTTCGCGCCAAAATGCGCCATCGGTTTTGGCGCGCACTGTATCGACGTCCCATGAAAATATCGCGCAGAAAAAGTAGTAGTGGGGCGCCAGGCATTTTCGTGACGAATGGGTGCGATATTCGTGTTCTACGGGTCAAATTACCCTCTAAGCAAGCTTCTAGTCGGATTCATCTTCTTCAAAAATTCGTTGGAAACCCAGCCTATCCTCGACAAAGTGGGACAGTTAAGGATAAATAGTCCCCGATGGCGATATCTTCGTTATAGATCTACTTTCGAGCCCCGGAACCATGTACTTATGTGAGACCGTGATGTTCATAATGTCCAGTGAGAAGCTAAAGGAGAATCACTCGAGGAAATGCTAGTAAACGGCGCGAATTATGAAGATGAGACGAATGTTACAAAACTTTGCAGTCATTTCCTTGCAACGATTTTCCTTTCCCCACACTGGTCCTTATGCATACGGCCTATTTGGGCAGGAACATCTTGGTTTCCCAGACGTCAATTATCATCACTATCTTGAGAAGTCTTCACGTTTCGAAGAACTTCAATCTTAACGACCTGCTTACTCTCACGGTACTTCAGTGAGTCTTGTGACAAAGTAGAGATCGGTCACAATCAGTCGTTCCCTTAGCTTGCTTGCTCGCATTGTTGCTCCCTCCATCTACTATGCTGGGCCGAGACCTTTTCCGTTGAACTTGGTGATTCCGAGTGCTCACTTGGTGTTGCAACTGGAAAAACTCCGGGCCTACGAATGTTCTTCCCAGCCTCGGCAACTTCATCCATAACTGCTGCCCTTCTCCCATTCAGACTTCCTGTTATCGTTTTTCTGCATAGCTTCGCAACTCGAGCAAGTTGGTGGCTGCCTACAGCTCGCGCGATCAAACGCTGGCGTATCAGCCACCGAGACTTCGAAAAGAGACACGAGCCGGTCGTACTCTCCTTCGATGTTGCCGATAACACAATCTTTCCACAAACTAGCAAGTAAGCAAAATCCCACTTGACGGCAGTCTTAGGGCTTCGTTCCCTGTAGTTCGCAGCTCTCTTTACAAACATTGAAAGACAAAATATAGCGCACAGTGATCCAGTGTAGAACTTAAGAGCAACGTCAGTCAGGCAAAATTTTTAAAAAGAATATTATGTGATCTATTTCTCTATAAACTTGTCTACCAGCGACTTCCGACTCCATCTCAAAAGAAAAGTTTGTTTCGAGTTGCGAATCACCATATTTCCGTGAATACCCAGATCCTTTTGATCGCAAACGTCCGATTCGGACTATCAAGCTTTCGTACGAGTCGATGTTCGTGGCCAAGTGCGTATTGTTCTACATCTACAACGCCAAGCCTGGGCTGTCACATGTTTGAAGAAACAGTTCTCATTCGATCTCGAAATAAGCATCCAATGCAAGCGTTCGTGCATTGGAAATACAGATCACCATCTTGGTTCTTCTCCTTTTGGGCAGCCTGTTTTAGCCCTGAATTTTATACAGCCTATCCCGATCGGCCCTTCTTAACGCTGCCGTATTAGACGCTCCCTGAGGTTGAAAGGATTGCGGCCCATTTATTATATAACAGTCGGGTTGCCCGACTTGCTCTGGGCCTCATTCCTTGCTTTTACCAAGTAGTTACAAAGTGTAGTTAGTGGGAGGGTACATTGATTTTATCCATCACTGAGGGCTAGAATGCAGAAAGGGGCAGCCGACCCGACCTATACTTAGAAACGGTTCTAGGCGAAAGAATATGCGGTGGGATGATTACCTCTCGCGAAAAGCTAGGATGGGGTATGAGTTGGTTATCCGATTGACTCACCCACCTCGGTACACCTCCCCTCCTAAAGCTCAGATCTAAAACTGTATGCTTTCGGCTAGGAAACGTTAATGAGCACACTTATGGGCTAACCTCCTTGCATTTAAATTATCTCTCTCATTTATAAAGCAGAAACTTGGTGTGTCGGTTTGTAAGTTTGTCGGTGTGTCGGTATGTCGGGTGGGTGGGTATGTCGGTTTGTCGGTCTGTCCGTGCGCAAAACATATGTACGATAAAGGTAGTGATATGGAAAACCTAGCTCCATTCTACACTTCCTTCTTATATATAAGGCAGTAACTTAGTGGGTGGGTTGATGGAGTCATGTGAGTACTGCGGAGTGAAGTGAGCAGTGTGGAGTGAAATGGGTACTTCAAAACTGTGATTTCGAATTGTACCGGCATCGTGCTATGTACAGTACCGTTCAAGAAAAATCACCTCGACCCGTTTCTGCTTTATTCATCTCAAACTCAATGTTTTCGATTGATTTTTTGAAAGCACATTTTTCAAACATTGCAAACTCTTGGGCAATGCAGAATCGGCGGTAGCTCACTACCGGCTGAAAGAATTTTTTTTCAAAAACTTGCGGAAGGGGTGTGTTCTTTAGGTAGGTTTCATTGTGTTTTCTAGTCTAGGATGCTCTTGATTTTTTTGTTCTATAAGCTGATCGGTCTCTGTAAAGAGACGAAACTCTGGCTGCTGCTATCTGATCGTGGAGCAGCTTCCGCCACGGGCAGTAAGCAGGTTTTGACCCATGCTCAACATCTAAGGCTGTTTGTTGTGCCAATGTCTTCGGTTGCGAAGGCTATCGAAAGTGTCAAGTCTCTCATGAGCCCAGTCAAATGAGCCTGCTCGGGAAGGCCACTTATTGCCGCTCTTGAGGATGATAGGAAGATCATTTGTGAGTCGACCTAAGATTACAGACGAGCATTTCCGGTGTAATGGCCGAAATATCGGCGACGGTGACGTCGCTACCATCAAGAGGTACCATTAGCAGACGCATGTGGGATGCCGGGTTATATGGAAGAAGGCTTTTGAAAAGTATTTTCGTCTCAGCTCGACTTCAATGATCGCGTAAGCACCTGCACTGGACCTCCGGCCAATGACGCGAAGTCATATAGAGCGACTAGTGTTTGAAAAAAGCAGAGGTTTCCATCTACATTATAACCTCCGATTTTTGTATAGACAAACATCACTCACTTTACTATGCAGCACTCAGCCTACTTCATCAACCTACCCACCGAGTTACCGCCTTGTATATAAGAGGGAAGTGTAGAATACAGCAAGGTTTCCCATTTCGCTACTTTTATCGAAATCATAAGTTTTGCGGACGGCCAGACCGACACACCAAGTTTCTGTTTCATAAATGAGAGAGATTACTGCTTTTGGCATATGGATATAGAGTAGTAGCTCTTTAGCCAGCTAGGCAGTCCTAGTTTGGACTAGGGGTTAAATTTTGTAGACACCCCGGAATCGTCTCTCGGCTACTTCCTAGTCACTCAGATGCAAGCTTTCGGCTGTACCGGTGTGCAGGAAACCAACTGCGTTCGCAGTCTCTTCACATACGTGGATACACTGCTATGACACAGAAGGTATAAATGGAGGCAGCACAGAAGGAAGAAGGGTTATATCCCTGAATCCACTTTCGTCTCTCGGCAGGTACCGGTGACTTTTGGACCGCGAATTACTCCCTTGTCCATCATCTGGAGTCTCGCCACGTAGCCTCTCTCTAAACCGGTTGGAGATCCTTCCGCGAGAAAGAACCCTCAGTGATGTAGATCTGTGTTTGAAATCAGGGCCTTTCACAATACAATCGCGCAATCGCAGAGGGGAATTCAAACACTGGTTTTCGAATGATTCCTCATATTATCTTTCCTTAATCGTTTGAAGTCGCTTGAACTAGCGCTGATAAAGGCACAGTTCACGATAATTTTGGGTAATCCAGATTAAAGTAAAAAGGATAAAGTTTTTGGCGTTAATCAATCCCGTCTGAGGGATGCGCCCCCGCACTCGACTTCCATTCAGAATCGTAGTGGCGTAATGAGTGCGTATGTGGCCTATACAATAACTTGCGGTGACCAGCCGATGTACAAGTCAGTGCATTTATCCTCCCAGACAGGTCTGGTACCAATTCACCGACCCCGGAGGGATGGAAGGCTTGGTTGGCCTAGGCGGGCACCGATCCGGGATCCAGATTATGATGAAAAATGGAAGACTAGTTCGAAACTAGCGCGACTGAGGTGGAGAAGCTGCGCGCATCGGTGTTTCCAAAGTGAAAAAAGGCTTCGAAAACCGTTAAAAAGAGGGCTGGACGAGAATGAAACCAGAAAAATGAAGAAGAGTGGGGCGTCCGGACGAGCTAAACAGTGTGTTTCAGTGCGCGCGTGTGGGTTCTGGTGCGAATAACAGATAATGGTATGCAAAAGTTCATTCACTTATAAGCATAAATAAACAAAAAAACTCTAGTAACAGCAAAAGTAGCTCACCTTTTCAGCCTCTACGAGTAGGAAATTGAATAAGGGATCGCGGCAGCAAAAAGAAAAACAGGAAAAAAGAGTGGGAGAAAAACATCGCCTCATCACTCGAAGATTAGCTGATTATGCGTGGGTCCTAGAGCGAATAATAGCAATCTACGAGACACCGATCGAGGGGCGGGAAAGCGAACTACGGCAGCAACGGGGCTTCCACTATGCCCTAAGCGCCGAGATTGTGGGAGCGAGAGGGTCCCTTCTACCACTCATGGGGGGCGCCGAGTATTCCTAAAAGAAGAAATCAGTAACTCTTTTATCGTGAACCTTGCCTTTAACCAGAGAAGGTTATTAATGTAACACTGAAGCAGATGATGCGTGACTTATTAATATGATGGTATTGCAGTTCTTCTGCCGATGAGTTGTTAGAACATTTCAAGCTTTCATTGCAGCCTACATGAATGAAACGAAATAAGCAGGCGGAAACTTTATACAATAATACCTGTGTATACTATATACTTTTACCTAACAACCTCGTTGGCAGAAGAATCACAATACAATCATAATTCGCTAAAAATTTTTTGTAAAAACTAAAAAGTTTTTTCAGCGTAACCTTGAAATAGTGGTGGCAAAAATTATTGGCAACGAAGCATCCTTGGTTACCGGTAGCACGTTTACCTATGGAGGAGTGATGTTAGATCCGATGCCATATGTTGAGGAAAAATTACTCAGCTACAAAAGTGAGGCCGCTCGTGATCGTTTGAACATTGACCAATCTAGCCGAGAAAGTGAGATTCAGATAATCAATTGAAATTTGGTTTCACTCGGCCTTGGGGAAAAAATGGACCACGAGAGCACTCTCTGAAAGAATGTCAGAAATGGCATGTGAGTAGCCCAGCTTTTCTCAAATTTTTTGCTTGGCATCACAACGCTCCCCGTAAATTGTGCCTTTCAGTTCATTAAACAGGGCAGCATAATTGGTGGTTTACTCATTTCTCACGAAAAAGCGATGGAAATGAACGTCTGCCTGAAAGACTGTATGTGGCATATCATCTAGCACCTTTGCTCACCTTTTGGATACATTTCCTTCATGTAACTATGTACTGAGCACCCGTTTAGTAACCTTCTGTAAAAGTAGAATTCTTCCATTATTCGTTTCCATATTTGTTAGTTTCCCAATCATGAAAATGACTAATTAATTACTTGTTGTGGGAACAGAATTGTTATACTGATCCTTCATGCTCACTAGTAAAGAAACTGCATTCAGACGTTCCTATTTTGAATAAATCTTCCAATAGTAATTAAAACTCTAGTTGATGAATTATTTATCTTCGGCGAGTGGATATTCGGCTGAAATCGAAGAATCCTGATCATCACAAGCGCATGCTTTGGTAAGTGAACTAGATTTTTCTTATTTTATTTTTCACGGAGTCTTCAAAGAGAATGCTTGAAATCACTGAGGCTCTGCGTTTCTAGCACTATCGTGAAGATGTTCGACGATCCGGTCGTATTCTTTATCGTCGGAATCTTCCCACAAAGTCGCAAGTGAAGCAAGGTGGTCACAGTTGACAACAGTCTTTGTGCTCCGTTTCCTAAACTTTCTATCGCGAACTAAATTATTGACCGATCTCGTGTAGAACTTCAGAACAAGTCAGGCAAAACCTCCGATTGAAGATGAGGTGATGTGTTTCATTATGGAACTGCCCACCAAGTGACTTCCATGTCCATCGGAAATTAGAGGTTTTCGGAATTGCGAGTTTCCATGGATAATGCGGGTCAACATGATTAACTTAGGCAGTTGTTCACCCTGCTCATTCCATTCCATTCCGTGAGTTCCGACATGATGCTCTTAAAACGTCCTTCTGGAGCCAATCTTGGCGTTGAAGTCAGCGACGATGACATTGAAGAAAGCGTGGCCTTCTCTGTAGAGCCTCTTAAATCCATATAAAACATTTCCAGCTTTTCTTCTTCGTAGCTCGATGTTGTTGCGTACACAACGAAGATTGTTGGAGCTGTGGTTGAGCCACATCTTCTCAATCGCAAACGTCCAAACGTCCGATTCGGGTTGCCAAGCTTTCAAATCGATGTTCATTTTTTATAACTAATCAGAATTGGATCTTATCTCTAGCCCTCAAGACATTTCACTGTTTGAATCCTTCTCTCTAACACAATAGGTAAGGAAAGCTGGAAGAAATATGGGAGCTAGTTCATTCAGTCATCTCTACTCCCTTGTTATGAACCGAATTTTGCAGCGATCTAGGTTGCCTATCCAATCCAAATGGAAACCCACCCTCTTCCTCCTCGTGAATTGTGCCTTCATACAAATACAAAGTCGAAAGCTGAAGGGTTGCTGAGCAGACAGTTCGTCTCATAGAAGTTTGAGAAAAAAAAATAGTCACGCGTTTGCCTTTAATGCACTTAACCTTATCTGCCTTTTTAATCCTTTTTTGGATCGAATCTCTTCTGGAATTTTGTGACACGAAAATTTGCTTTTGATAACAATGTATAAACCACATTTATAGTACTGTAAACAGTTTTAGGGCCTATATGGGATTGATTGCACAGGTAGCCTGAGGCTGATAGCTTGTTCCCTTTCTCCTTTGTTAGCACTGCATTCATTCCAAGTGGCTCAGAAAAATACATTCGGGGGATCGACGAGCATTCCATTTGACGTAAATTATGGGGCAAGATTATAGAAACAAGATAACGAGACAACAAAATGCCACGGTACACGTGGTTTTAGCAAACCAAGCGAACACCTCCACTCCTTGACTCTCGACTATCACCAGTTGACGTTCAGTTTGTTACGACGTAGTTGTCTTCAAAAAATCGAAGTCTTGCTAAAGCTCTGCCATGTTTTCGGCAGAGATATCAAGCGAATTAAAGTAGGCAAGCATTCGTCGAAAACGAAGAAATCGGGGATGTTGCGGTTGCACTACACCTGAACAATTTTGGCTCTATAGGAGAGACACCATCCTGTTGATAGTACCATTTTTTCTTTCAAAGGAGTGCTCGGATCAGAGCAAAGTACATCGTCACGGAATGACAGCTTGCGTCAAACCATATGCCGCAACGAATACGGCGGGCGTTTTCCCAATCGTAGTTGTTCTGACAAATTCATGATAGATTTGAATTACGACTGAGCGAGTGCAGTCATATCCTCCTTCAATTTAGTGACATTATTTGTACCGCCGTTCTGTTCATGGAAACGCATCATCACTGAATCAAGTTCTTGGAGTGAACTTTTTCACTCATCTTCTTTCAAACCATCACGAAGAGAGCGACTTTGTTCTTGTTTGTATGCCTTTCTCCTCAAAGGATTTTTCTTAGCCGTGCTCACAAGTCGGCATCCTATTCGCCATTGTCGACAAGTCGACGAAGCTTCAAGTGATATGATTATAATTTGACGATCAAGAGTGTTACTTGATTTAGGTGTCCTGTAGTCACAATTGTTAGTAGTAACTCACCGTCGTATGCAACAATGTTAAAGATTTTTGAGCTTGCCGGGGCCGACTATGTTGTTAGATTTGATAAGATAAGCTCGTCATACAGTATAAAGGCAGGTGAGGAGAAAGAGCCGGTCGCTTCTTGCTTTTTGCAACAGTCGTTCAGTCACAAGCTCGCCTAGTTGAAGAAATCAGAGGGCTGCTCCTTCTCCCCACAAGTCACAGTGACAGATTAAGAAAAAAAAAGTCCCGCGTGGCAATCTAAACGCTACAGAGCCCCTCGATACTTCAGCCATATCCACACTGACTATACCGTACTCGAACGCAGACTATCGACCACCTTTTCGAAGTAGCTCTCAGTGATTTCAGAAGTAACCCTTCCTCACTGAGGTTAATCAGGAACACCCAGTTCCGCGAACTGTGACAGCCTCCGTTACTATTTTTCTCGAAACATCCACGCAACGGGAGATGCCAGACGTTCCGAAAACTTGAAGGGTGCAAACCGAGAACTGGGTTCAATTTCCATGGAGAAGCAAAGTTTCTGATAAGTACACGTTGACAGCAAATCAGGAAAAAACAATAAAAAGTACCAAAAAATCTGAAGGTAAAAAAAAATCAATGTTTCCTACATTCTTCATTCTTCGAGGTACATATGTATGAACCAATATTGGGAGTGGAAAATCAATGAGCAGCTGAGGACGTGGAGGTCTCGCTACTTCTACGACTTCTTCTAGAAATTCCTCCGTAGGGTATGGAACCAGCAATTCAGGAATATGCGATATTGCCAAGCACATCAGGAGAAGAAACGTAAAGAAGTAGATTATAAATCTTCCATGCAATGTAATTTGCCCATTAGACCTAAAACTAAAGTCTGAAAGTATTTTATTGGTTGATTCCTATTCCAATCGGAATCACTAGAAGGTGCTCCACTCCAGCGCATTTCTGAACTTCGAGAGGAGGAATTAAATGAAAAAAGGATAACGTTTCGAGTCTGCTGTTGGGCAACACGATTAGAAAAGTAAATTCAGGGGACACGGTAGGAGGAGCTACGATAAGTTTCGTGGCCAGTAGAGTACCAACATCGACAAGTAGTAGATACGACTGGAAGAAAAACTCTTTCGCGTAATAAACGCCTTTCCCTGGAGTGCGCCCGACATTTGACATCCATTCAGAATCGTACTGTATGTGGCCTATACATAGAATGACTTGCGGTGGTCAGCAAATGTGCAGGTCGGTGTTCTTTCCTACCAGGCGAGTGTTCTTCCGATTGTGACTCCAGAGCAATGGAAGCTTTGTTAGCTAGGAGAATATCGGTCCGGAATTCGATCTCCGGACTATGCACGTGTGGTAGTACACCATTTTCCACTATACCATCACCTCCCAGGATATATGGACTGACAATTAAATCCAAGTCGCTGTCGATGATAAAATATTTCAAGGATGGTCTCTTCCCGGTTAGACATGGGAGATACCAATCATAATTTCTCGATAGCAATTAAAGCGGGTCTCTGAGTATTCCAGTGAACGTTCAAAACAAATGAATAACTATCCTGTGCGAAATCGAACAATATTTGTATCAAATCTCTGAACAGCGACGTTTATCCATAACGAATATTAGGAAAAATCATAAGGTTTAAGAGCTCTCAATTTTGTAAATATATTCATTTTCTAATTAGTATATTTATTGGAATCATACCAATCAGCACTGTAGAATCAATTTCTTCGTAATTTTGAACTGACGTGGAACCATATCATTCATTTTGATGACACCTGTCAAATTCAATATCGCCTCCCCGTCTCCAAATATTTAATTCCTCTGATGTGCGTTTTTTAATCAGAATTCCTTTCCGAACTGATTTCCAACATTCATTGTTTAGGACCTTTATTTTGTTCTTCATGAGCATTTTTCCAGTAGTTCTTCCCAAAAATCAGGGAGCCTTTGTAGATGAATTCCATACTTCTGCTAACGTTGTTGGTGCCTACAGTAGCGGCGCAATGCTATTTCAAGAAGGACAACATCGTCTCCATATGGAAAGTGAGTTGACGAGCACCCCAGAGCAACTGGAAACTAAACGAAGCTCAACACCTCTCCTAATGAAGAGGATGGCTGCAATATTGAGTCCATTCCAGGTGAAAGGTAACACCTTATGGGTAGAATTCATCAATAAAAACATCACAGACGGACATTGGACAGGTATTGCCTTCGGAGAGAATATGGTGGGTGGAATAATTTTTCCCCAAATTCGTTATGTTTTGGCACAGCTCTTTGCTTTTGATACAGCTAAGAATAGGTTCCTGCTTCGCTCCATCAGGCTTTCTTATTTGGTCAGAATGTTGTCTGCAATCAGTGAAATTGGCGTTTCAACCTTCAACCGGAATGGCAAATGACAAAGGGTTTCATTCCTCGAAGACATACAAATGCATCTAATTAGGAATTTAGCTCGAGATCGACTAACTAGAGATCTTGTCTTCTTCTTTTCCATTTCTAGTGTATCTTCAGAGCGAATAAAAAATTTGAAAGCCGCGCTTCTGCAATGAAATCGTAGTCAAACGAAGATCATCCCTGCTAACTTAAATGATATTTTAGCAATATTTTTGACTTTGTAGAGTATCGAGAGTTGTCAGTCGTGACAGCAGAATTCCCGTGTGAATGAAGGCGTAGATGTTGAGAAGGCCATGGAAGAGCGGAAACTTGAAACTCTTGTGGCAGTCGATTCACTTTTTGTAGTTGTAGTTGACTAGAGAGTCCTGCTGTCAGGCGAGAAGAGAGAAGAAAAGAGAAATCCAGGGAGAGAAAGCGCGATACGCTCAACTTGGTTACCACTTCACTTTGATATCACTGTCGTATGTTCTATTTTGCACTTCTACCTTGTGTTCTGCTAGGGTTATGTGACGGCCTCTAATTGCCAAAATCACCTCAGCCAGATGTCTCTGATAAACTCATCGGCTAAAGGCGGGGATACCTGCAAAGCTTTGAGTTCTGTTGTGGCCACTTTCCGGTGCGATAAACCAGAAAACTACCTCGTGCTTGAGACAGCTCCCCTCATCGCTCTAAAATATGAGTGACAATTCTAGACATTAGTTTTAGAAAGTATTCCGTTCCGATTATTCAAGACGTGCAACTGATTTTTACCATTACTCTCCTCTCTCTCAAAATCGCCTATGCTAGATAGCTCAGTTCACAGAGTTTATCAAAGAAGGAAAACTTTTCCTAGGGCGCAGGATTCAAAAAACTATTTTCAGGATGTACAGGATTTTTTTTCCAGTATAAACTCGAAATTGTGGTGGCAAAAATTATGAACAACGAGGCATCGCTAGTGACGGGCCACACGTACTCTTACGGTGGAGTAAAAGAAGATCCGATGCCATCTGTCGAAGAAAAATTACTCCGCTACAATTGTGGGGACCCTTGATATCGTTGCAATGTCGGCCAGCCTAGTCCAGTAACCTTTATTTTAGCTAATGTATTGAAATTTGGTTTCACTCGACCTTTGGGAAAAAATGGACCACGAGAGCACTCTTTGAAGGAATGCCAGAAATGGCATGTGAGTTGCACAAGTTTTTTGTTGAATTCTTGGCAGTACCTCAGAATTTCTCCCCTATGTGCGAGTTTCAGTTCATGAAGGAAGGCGACATAGTTGCTGGTGACCTTTTCTCTCACAAAAGAGCGACAGATTCGATGAACGTCTGCTTGAAGGACTGTATGTGGCATGTCATCTGATACCATTACCTTAGACTCGTGTTTGTGTACCAATTAAATTTCCGTAGAGCAGCCTCACTTAATGGCAAATTTTTTTCAACCCAAGCTTTTATTATTGATATAGTTGTCAATGATTACTATAATCTTGCGGAAGTAAAGCTGTGCCTAGAATTTCTATGATCAGGTTGTGGGGGTAGTCCAGTGGTATTTGTACATAAATATGTTCATTTATATATTTGTATTGTTAGAACAGTAAAGCAATGATACAGTAATGAATGGGTATGAAGGTATGATTACTTTGGTAGAACTATTTGAGGGAAAGGCCGGAGGAGGCAAGTGGCGCAAGCCACACTCGCACGGTAACCATCGGTATCCGCCTAGGTCAACTGAGCCTTACGTCCTTCCGGGGTCGGGTAATTGGTAGCAGACTCGTCTGGGAGGATAAAAGCACTGACTTGTACTTTGGCTAGCCACCTGAAGTCACTGTATAAGCCACATACTCAATCAAGAGGCTACTACGATTCTGAACGGAAGTCGAATGCGTGAGCGCATCCTTCAGGTCGGATCGATTAACGAACCAATGCTATTTCTTTTACCTTTCTTTTATCCTGAAGGAAACCAACTCAGTGCCGAGAAGAACGCTATTCCAAGAATATTCGAAAAGCGGAACTGAGAATTAAGTGTGGTTTTCTGTCTAAAACGGCGCCAACATCTGAACATTGGACTCAGTAATATAAAGACGATGCCAAGCTTATCACTAGGTTTCCACGTTGCCTTATCAGAAGAGCGTAAAAAAGGCATGAATAGACTTTGGAAGTTAGATTAATAAACGAAAAAATACATAGGATTGTGAAATCCACTTCATCCCCTCAAACGACACTTGAAGCCATCCTTATCGTGGGACCATCCAGATGGGAAGAACTTGTGCTGTTAAAAGCGACATGAGCGGCGACATGAACCTGCTTTTTAATTACGCTGAGTGCATTACAAAAAAATCTGTCTAGAGTCTTGGTACCATTTTGTTGTCAGTCTTGACCTATGCCGCTGCCTTGGTTCCGGAAAACGATGGTATGAGCTTCATCAGAATTGGACCTTTGCTTTGTCTTAACAGTCCGCAGACTTCAGTGTTTCTGATACCGTATACTTTCAAGGTGTATGCTAAAGGTTGTTCTCACCCGGCCATATTGAACCATATGGCCC